TGGTGTAGAGGTATTGGCACTGAGATGTTACACTAGATTTCTTGGTATGGCTAATCTCCCCGCGGCCATGTGAGCTTGGCCAGCCCAAAATTAGGTCATGCCCACTTCTTCAGAAGCCATGCGCACTTTTGAAGTGGCCATGCACCCACGGGTACCTGGTGGGGGATACCAGCTGGGAGTATGCTGGGCTACCCAGGGTCCTAGAGGATATCTGGGGCACTTGCATGGAGAAAACCAAGTCCCACATTCTAATACTGGCGGGTTAACTGAGCTGGGAGGGGAAGAAGACTGGAAATGCATTTGGGGATGAACAGGAAGAGACTCAGGAATGCTGGGCGACCCAGGGTCCTAGAGGACGCCTGTGGCGATTGCGCAGAGAAAGACAAGTGCCGGGTTTGAATACTGGTTGGTTAACTGACCTGGGAGGGGAAGAAGACCAGCACAGCATTGGGGACGAACAGGAAGTGTGTAATTTTTTTAGCTAGCCATTTGTTATTGGACACAGATACTGTCCACCATGAATAGAACTGCGTTGAACATAAGCAAATTTTTCTCTGACTATATTTTTTGGCTCTTGGTGCAGATGCTATAAGGGGAATTGCTGGATCATGTGGAAACTCAATTCTGTTCATCTTTAATCCCCATTTTATGCTGTTTTTTTTTGTTGTTGTTGTTGTTTCTTGTTAATACCGTTCAAGTGCTAGAGAAGCTGGAGCTGAGTTATCACCAGGAAGCACATCAGCCACGGAAGCAGGATGCTAGGAGTGGGATGGAGGCGGGCAGACCAAGAGGCCAAGTCCTCACCCTGTCAAAGACCCAAAGATCTACACACATATTCAGGCGGGCCGCTGCCAAAGCACCCACCTAGATTCAGCACTGATCTCAGAGAAGCCAAAGAGACACTTGCAATTGATCGTCCCAGTTCAAAACATATGAAACATGCAGCTGTATATGTGGCTGTATACTACCTCCAAACTCCACAGAGCTGACAGCCCAGGAGAAACAAGAAATTTGTTAGGAAAATTGAGTAGAAGTCCAAAAAGCTCAATGAGTGAAAACAGTAATACAGAAGGCCCAACTTGCACCTCAGAAAACCATCAGGCCATAACTATAGTAACACCATTCTGAGACACATGTTTTTATAAGCAATTGAAATTAAATTAATTAGTGCCTGCTAAGGGAGCAGGCAAAACTAGGGACATGGATGGAGTTTGTAAGGACGCATTGGTGGTGGGTCTGATTTTACAACATCGAATACCTAAAATAAATGTACTGTGAAAAACTTTGTAAATCATGGTCCTTAAATAAAGTTAATTTCTAAAGCATAGAATAATGTAACATTTAAACATAAAAATATTTACAAATGCTTTAAACATCTTAGCTATTAATCCTTTGTCAGATGATCAGCGGGAAAATATTTGCTCCCAGTTTGTGAGATGTTTTCATACTCTGGTCATTATTTCTTCTGCAGTGCAGAAGCTTCTCAATTTTATCCAGTTCCAATTGTTTATTTTTGCCTTTATTTGCTGGCCCAATGGCATAGAATCAATGAATCATTAAAGAGCGCTCTAATTCGATGTCATGGTTTTTGCTATATTTTCATCAATTTATTTTATGAATTCAGGTGACATTGAGGTTGTCCACCATGAATTAACTTTCATTCATGCTGTGATAAAAATGATTTTTTTTAGATATGACTGACCCCTTTTCCCAGATTATTTTCTGAAAAGGTCTTCTTTTTCTTTTTTTTTTCTTTTTGGATCACACCCGGCGATGCACATTGATCTTTTTAAAGCAACTTAATCTGTGATGTTATTTATTTGGTTCCTAATGATTATTTGTATTGCTATGAACATATATCTTACACCATTTTTTATGTGTCCCGTATGTTCTGGTAATTCATGTCTACGTTCTCATTTGTTGATAGTAATCTTTTATTCTTTTCTCTGATTTAATCTTTGACCCATAGGTTTTTCAGTATTGTTTAATTTCAAAATTTTTAGTTTTGCCCTATTTCTGTTTGTGATTTCCATCTTCAGAGAACAATGGTCTGAGAGCTTGTGTCTAAGTTTTTCTTCTTTATTTTATGAAGATACATTTTGTTATCTAGCATGTGATTCATCTTGTAGTAATTTCTTCATGCAGTGGAGAACAAAGGCCCCTATTATCTTGGCTGGCCTAAGTCTTTCATGCTTCTTTCACTGTCAGCGTTTTCTTCCTGAGCTCAGTGGTGACAGTGAGATGGTAAGATACTACTACCTACTGTACTGTTGCTGTCAGTAACTTCTGCCACATCAGTTAGCAGTTGATATCAGATATCTTGATATCAGATATTTTGATATCAAAATAACAGGCATTTTGATATCAAATTCTCAAATATCTCCTACATATTCAAAAGTGATATCAAAATAACAGATATTTTGATATAAAAGTCTCAAATATCTTCTACATATTCAAATGCTAATTTATCCATTTACAACTTGTTACGTGAATTTATGTACAAAATTTTGCTTGTAAATGGATGAACATGGAGAGTATAAAGCTGAGTAAAATGAGTCTGAAAGAGAGGGGCAGACAGAATAATGAAACTCATTTGGAGGATATTACAAAACAACGTGAGACTAATACCCAAGGACATTAGAAATGAGGGCAAGAAGGATTGGTTCACAGTTGGAAGCTTGCCTCAAATGCTTTGGGAATAAGGTAGCTGGGATAGAGAAAGAACCACTATGACAATAATAGTTGGAAATCTTCATTCTGGATAAGAACTACGGTGGGGGGGAGAGAGAGAGAGAGAGAGAGAGAGAGAGAGAAAGTGTCTGCCATAGAGGTAGGCTGGAGGTGGGGTGGGATGGTGGGAGGAAAACTGGGGACACTGGTGGTGGGAAATGCACATTGGTGGAGAGATGGGTGTTGGAACATTGTATTACTGAAATCCAATCATGAATAGCTTTGTAACTGTATTTCAGGGTAATTCTATACAAAACAAATAAATAAACAGATTTCAACTACAAAAGGAGATAATAACAACATAAAAATATAATGATGAAGGAATTAATGATGGAGCCAAATGCATTTATGTAAATACTTTAAGCAAACATTAAATTATATAAAGTAATTATTAGCAGACCTAATGAACACAGCTGCAGAAACTCAATAATAGTCAGAAACATGAACATGCCAAGCTCATCAATTGACAGATCAACCCAACATTAAAGCAACACACACACACAAACACAAACACACACACGTACAAACACATACACACATGTAATGTAAAAAATATATACTGCTCTTGAAATATCCTATTAGCATTTAAATAAAATTACACATGTATTATCTATTGAATATATTTGCTATCAGAATATAAATGAGTCCCAATATTCATGCAAAATTAAAATTAATAATATTTTAAAATACGCTCTTGTTAAAAAAATATCTATTTCTTTAACTTGAAAAATGTTTTCAGGATTATCATGTCTGACCAAACTACCTGACCACATAGAATCCCTCTATTTTGAGTCTTGTTTCATAATATCTGAAAGTATAAGTAGTCCAATTTTTTTTTCTTTTTGGGTCACACCTGGCCATGCACAGGGGTTACTCCTGGCTTTTGCACTCAGGAATTACTACTGGCAGTGCTTGGGGGACCAAATGGGATGCTAGGAATCAAACCTGGATCAGTCACATGCAAGATAAATGCCCTACCAGCTGTGCTATTGCTCCAGCCCCAAGAGTCCAATTTTTTTATTTACTTTGGAGTCAAAAGCTGTTTTACTGGGGAATCACTCCAAGCTCTGTGTTCAGTGATCAAAGGTCAAGGCAATGTTAAAAAAATCAAGCCTGGGGTACCTGCATACAATTTTAAGTATTTTTTATCCCCCCCCCACCAAATTAGAACTCAATGCCTTCAATTTTACCAAATTTTCTTTTGCAGCCAAGTATGATTTCAATGTGATTTCTAATTAATATTTACTACAACCTTTTCATCACAGAGAAATGTGATTTAAATTTTCATGTATTTTTCCACCTGTAGCATTGACTCCTATATCTGATGTTTCATATTATATATCTGAAATTCCTTTTTTCTTAATTTATTTTTTATTAGTGAATCACCGTATATCTGATATTTCTTAATGAAGATATATAGATATAACTATTTTCTAGACAAATTTATCTGTCATACAATGACTATTACCATTTGTATAATTTGTGTATGTGTGTCACATTCATTACTAAAAGGTTTACTATTTCTTGAAAATTTTTAATTATGCATTTTTAAAAAGACTGAGATATAGGAAAGGGAACAGGAGTCCGTAGTTGGGTTTGTGTGAGCAGATAAAAATATTCTGAGTATGCCAGGGATGTTGCTCAGTGGTTTATTACTTGCCTGGCATGTGTGAGGTGGTACATTAAAAGTGTAGGGTTATAAAACACAGATAACAAAACACTAAATCCCTACCATGCCTCCTCTAAATCCTGGATAACACAAAACTAAACAAATAAAATATATTAAAATATTAAAAATAATTTTATAAATATATATAAAATAAATAAAATATATTAAAATGGCAGTGAAAGTGTTTTGCTTTTTTAAGAGAATAAAAATCAGTATGAACTAAAATAAAAAGGTTAATAAAAGTCTGAAAATTTTAATTATATTTTAAAAAAACTCTTGATCACTTACTTGTTTCTCTGACTCTTCACTCACATTTGATTTTATTTTCCATGGAACTGTTATCTGCAGAAATATTTCTTCAGAATCTACAGTAAAATATACGGGTGTTTTTTTTTAGTTTGGGAATTTTCTTGTTTGCGTGTGTGTTTTCAGAATCAATCTTCTGATTCAAACTAAATTCTTACTCTTGAAAAGTAAAGAAACCTATTGACATCCATGCAGCCTCCTTCTTGGTTCATAGCTTTGTCTAGATTTTCTTTTCTTTCTCTGGATTTGTAATGGCTCCTTAAAAATAGCTAAAATAGAAACAGCCCGAAACTACAGACTGCACTTCTACAGGACCATCTAAGTCGGTTTGGGTTTTGTTTCTCAAAAGTTGCTTCTGGACGTTTTTCCGCTGGTCAAGTTGAGTAAAGAATTGAGGGCAATACCACACCTCCTGCCGCATTCCCAACCCAGAATGAGCCACAAGGAGGACCACAAGGGCCACAAGGTCACGTGTCCTAGCTGAGCCCCTGGAAGCCTGATGTAGAGAACAGCTTTCGTGGCTGTCCTACCCCAGTGACCGGTCTCCTTGGTCTGGTCTGGAGATCTGCGAGACATAGAAGAGAGGCACGCACACACACACACACACACACACACACACACACACACACACACACACACACACACTTCACGACGAGCACGACGAAGATGATGATAATGATGATAATGATGATAAACAGAAAGGGTGATAACTGATAACTGAACCCCAGGGTTAGAGGAAACTGGCTCTGGGAGAGAGACCAGCCCTGCTGAGATGCAAAACGCAAATCAAGGAAGCTGTCCACTCACCGAGGCAGGCGCAAAGCCTTCCGAGCTCGGCGAGCAGTGCAAAGAGGAAGAACATGTCTGGGTCAGCACCAGAAGTGAGAAAACCGTTGAGCAGCAGGATCTCGCGGTCCTGCGGGAGAGCGTTCTCTGCAGCCACTGTCTCAGCTCAGGCTGAGGGAGGTGCTGGGCGTGGCCCCCCAGGCTCAGAGCGCACCAAATACAGCCCCATGCCTCTACACACATTACAGTGTGCCCTTTTGGGTGCAGTTGTTCATAATTTCTTGTATGCTCTCCCCACTGCACGTGTGCGCACACACACACACACACACACACACACACAGAATATTGCACTCAATAAGGCAATCGAAAGGTGTTTTTTTTTTTTCACTGTTCTTAAAATACTAGTTTAAGGTCATTTTACAAAAGGGAAAGGAAACTTTAAAATACAACCGCACTGTGTTTCATGAAAAGGCTCTCTCAGCATTAGCAAGAGGGCTGTAAGTGGTGGAAGGCAACAGGAAATACTGAGACAGGGAAAAATTGACAGCAATGTAGATAGAAGAGCTAATATTGCCTTTGAATATTTGGCAAATACCTCGAGTTGAGCACAACCAAGAACTAATGACTTTTTTCTATGCAATTCCAACAGACAACTTTCCAGGACATTTGATTTGGATGAATTGTGTCAGTAGTCCACAAACAGACTTTTTGTGAGACCTAAATCTAGGACTTGTTAGGAGTAATATATTTGAGATACTAATGTCAGAAATTATTGAAGTTTGGTCAGTGATCTAAGTCCTAATGATCTTAAGTGAATTAGTATAAATGAGAAAAGTGTGGTAATATCCTATTGATCAATCACATAATTCATTAACTGGAGTGCAGAATTGAATCACTGTAGTATTTTTAATATATTCACAATAGCGCTGTAGCACTGTCCTCCCATTGTTCATCGATTTGCTCAAGCGGCCACCAGTGACATCTCACAGCAAATTGTGAGACTTGTTACTGTTTTTGGCACGTAGAGTACGTCACAGGTAGCTTGCCAGATTCTGCCGTGCGGACGAGATACTCTCAGTAGCTTGCCAGGCTCTCTGAGAGGGGCAGAAGAACAGAACCTGGGTCAGTTGCATGCAAGGCAAATGCCCTACCCACTGTGCTATTTCTCCAGCCCATATTCATAATATGTACAGCTATTTTTTATTTAATGTGGTTCTAAAGGGAATCAATTGGTTACCGCTATTCTGTGCTTCAGCTCTACAACACTTCTAACTTTTGTACTTTAAAAGCACATATGGCTAAAATGCATGCTGTCATGGACAGTTTCTGTTGCATATGACACCTCTACTACAATAAATGTTCTGCAAGGCAGGATTGTTTTTAGCAGCTGTTTCAAAATTTCCATGATGAACTTGAAAATTGTTTTATAGAACTGAGCTTACCAATGGTGGATGGGATTGGTTGTGGTTGAGTGGGGACCTTGAGACAATGGTGGACAAAAGTGGGCACTGGAGAAAGATGAAAAATGGGATTAAAAAAGGTGAAAGATGAGATACTATGTGCTTAAAACTCTCTAATTAACAATATTATCAATCACTGTGCTTCAAAAAATAATATTTCCAGATTTGAAAGAGCAAAGGAAGCTATTTGTTGATGAAATTTAATGAGAAGAGAAAAAGAGCACTGTAAATCTTCAACCAGTAAGGTCAACCAGTAAATTGAGCAATCTTGTATCCTTAGATTACTCAATTTATAAAAATGTGATGACTAAGTGAATGTTTAAATGAATAAATTTATAGGCAGCCTGAAATTATGTTGTTCTGCAATAGCACAGCAGATAAGACATTTGCCTTGCATGCAGCAGACACTGCCAACCTGAGTTTGATCCCTCCGCCCCACTTGGAGAACCCGGAAAGCTACCAAGAGTTTCTCACCCACAAGGCAAAGCCTGGCAAGCTACCCATGACATATTTGATATGCGAAACGAAACAAGTCTCACAACGTTACTGGTCCCGCTTGACCAAATCGATGAACAATGGGAGGACAGTGACAGTTACAGTGACTGCTGTAAAACTGGTAAGTAAAATTAACACGGTAAAAAGGTATAAATTGAAAATTTTGAACATTATTTTATTTTCATCTACATATGTGAAGATCAGAAAACCATATGACAAAACTAAAACAAAAAAACATACAGACTGGAGAGATAGTAAAGTGCTAAGTCACGTGTATTGCATATGGCCAACCTCTGTTCTGTCCGTGGCACCACATGGACCCCTGAGCATGGCCACAAGCAGTTGAGTCCCTGAGCACCATGCGATGTGTATCCCTCAAAAGAAAGTGGAAAAAAAATTCACTTATTTTACTTTTGTATTTCATTTTTCTAAATATTCACTCACTGGATTGAGACTGGCATTAGATTCATGGTAAAGAGACAATATACAAAACTATTTTAATTCTAGTTTTAGAAACTCATGAACAATATTAGTCATGTATAAAATAGGAATCATTCTGCCTTGCCCCTTTCATTTTTTGCCATCTTAATGTGTGTATGTATTTGTTCACAAATTTTTCTTCATAATGTACACTAATAAAGGTAAAGGTAAAGGAAAAGGCCCTCCCGTTGATCGTCGATTTGCTCAAGCGGGCCCAGTAACGTCTCCATTGGAGACTTTGTTGTTACTGTGTCTGGCATATCGAATACTCTCGGTAGCTTGCCGGGCTCTCCGAGAGGGGCGGAGGAATCGAACTCGGGTCGGCCATGTTGGCCGCGTGCAAGGCAAACGCCCTACCTGCTGTGCTATCACTAATAAAGTTGAACTAATTCGATGTGCCAGACACAGTAACAACAATTTAATGTCAACGAAAGGAAAACGAGGAAAATGGGATTACTTGTAATGTACGCAGACTATACTAAAGCAATTATAGCCAACGTCAACATAACTTTCAAATTTATATTATTATTGTTATTTTTCTATTTGGGGTCACATTCAAGGCACTCAGGTCTGACTGCACTGAGGGATCACTGCTGTGGCCTCAGGGAATCATATGGGGTAAAGAAATTCAAAACCAGTTCAGCCGTGTGCAAGACAAGCACCATACCCACTTTGCTATTGTTCTGACCCCAAATTTACTATTTTAAATATACTGAAGATTTACTACTTAGCTTGAAATTTTCCTTGGCCTAAAGAATGTGAAGGATACTGAACTGTGTAAAAAGGAACAATACATAAATATTCTGAGACAATATTTATGAATATTAACCTACATCCATACCAAACCTCGTATGTTTATTAAACTGAATATCATTTGAATTTTTTATATAATATATTTAATATAATTTTTAAAAAATGTTTTAATTAAACTGGTTTTGAATTTATTTACCCCTCTGTGAGAAGCAATTTCCTTATTGCTCTCTCTCTACTTTTCCTTTTGTGAATTATGGTTTGCAATACAGGTGTCATGACCTCATGGTGTTTGTTCAGGGCATTTAGTTTTATTATCAGGATGGTAAGGCTAGAGCAGCTTTTCAATTGGGTGATCCCTTTGTGGTGTGGATGTGACTGCCAAGGATTCCAGAAGTATAGGGAGGTAGGGGGAGGTAGCCCATCCCAACACGGACAAAGCCTGGAGGTTTCAGTCACAAAAACTGCACACCAGAATTTTCAGCAAGTTATACCTTGGTGAAGTCCAGCCTGAGATGGTGGATTCAGGCCAGGGGTATGGTAGCAATTTTGGTTTGTGGAAGCAAGTGACTACCAGGAGCTCTGCTTGGGTGGGCACCATGCCAACCCACCCTCCTCCAATTTACCCCAATCTGTTCAGCCTTGTTCAGCTTTTGATCTCTTTCAAGATTTATTTATGGGTCTCTGAAATAAGACCAATAAATAAGCTTATATAGCTTGATCTCTTTGAAGATTTATTTATGGGTCTCTGATAAGGCCAATAAATAAGCTTATATAGCTGATCTGGAGGTGGTTTGTGGGGAAGGCTTCCACAATCTTTTAGCCTAACTTTTCCCCATTTAATTTTTGGTAAACTTGACCCCAAGTTGTTGGGGTCCAGCCAAAGACACAGCAGCAATTTGGGGATATCAGAAAGCCTGAAGGCACCCGCCCTGTAGGAACATGTTGACCTGTTGGTGGCACCATACTCCCATTTATATTAAATTTTTTAAATTCTTACTCTTCACTTTTTCTCTGTTCCTCTTATTTCATATAAGAGTAATTATGGAAATCTTTTTTCTTGCTTCGTTTCTGTAGCTAGAACTTGTAATATTATATTGAATAAAATAATTGTAATAATATAAATTAGCAAGTTATGTGGGTTGGAGCAATAGCACAGCGGGTAGGGCATTTACCTTGCACGCAGCCAACCTGGCCAACCCGAGTTTGATTCCTCTGCCCCTCTTGGAGAGCCTGGCAAGCTACCGAGAGTATCTTGCCTCACGGCAAAGCCTGGCAAGCTACAGGAATTGTGACATATTCAATATGCCAAACACAATAACAAGAAGTCTCACAATGTTACTGGGTCTGCTCGTGCAAATCGATGAACAACGGGAGGACAGTGCTACAGTGCTAATGCAAGTTATGTTGATGTTGACTATAATTGTTTTAGTATATTCAGTCCTGTCTT